CACTCTTTCTTCGATGAACTACGGGACCCAAATGTCAAGTTACCAAATGGGCGAGATAAACCTGCACTCTTCAACTTCACCACTCAAGGTAGCCTGTGAGCGTTGAAGGATCCCTTCTTTAGGAAGCAGCACTGGGATAAGGGTTTGCTGTAATGCAGGTGTTGCTCCCGCAAAAGTAAAAAGTCTCCAAGCAGGACTGAAGTTATTAACCAGCTGTCCATCTTAGAAAGGGAGGAAAGGGACTAGAAAAAATGGTTTACAGGATTTTTCAGGTGCCTGGTGCCTTTGATTCAAATTTAGTGCAGGGGACCAAGGGTTGTTACTGTTGGATTGCTTCAAGAAGGCTTACGTTGGTAGTTCAGTGTCTGCAGCCTTCCTTGATAGTTTTGTCTGAAATATCACAGTCACTGGACTGTGGAGATCAGATTATCGTTGTGGAGATGATCCTGCTGCTTCATACCTGAAACGCCATAGCAAAGAGTAATACATATTAGGTCTGACAGGGAGGTTTGTAGTGTTGCTGCCCATTTTGGTTCTGGATCTGAGATTAAATACAGAGGCTTTAATGTCCAGATTTTACATGCCGTAGAGTTCATCTGGCATTACAATGATCAGTCATTTAGAAACTGTAAAAATTATGGACAACGAACTCTTTTATTTGAAGCCAGACTGGTATAAAATACTAAAACCATTCATGTATTTTTTCCTGTAGAAGTCATAAACGTAAAATTGATACCCCCCTAGAACAGTTTTGCCTGCCAAGACAGAGAATGTGAGAAGTGTGGCATAGAAATACGCTAGTAAATAATTTTGCCACGATATTTTTAAAGTGATTAGTTGTCAGTTCTCCCTTTGAGCAATAATGCATTTTCTGTTGTCTAAAGACAGCAGTCTGAAACACCTTTTGGCTCAGTTAGTCTCAATATAGTTTTTCTAACTCTTTAGTACATACAATACCCATCTGCCAAAATGTGAAACAGAGCCCTCTGCTTGCACATGTGGAACCCTTTTATTAAAAAAAAATGGCAGAAGGGAGAGGGGAAAAATGCCTTGTATCTGTACAGATCAATATTTTAAGCTGCCTGGAATTAAATTTTTAACTTGCTTTGAGTGACTGCCTTGCATAAGCTGAATATATTGAATATACTAAAACATTTCTGAAGGATGAACACCTTAAAGCATTCAAAAAAATATTTTGAGCTTCCAGGTCACTGTCCTCTGTGCTGATTCCTGCATCTGTTTTTATGAGTCTAGTAGTCACGCTACAGGTCCTTCTTTGTTACAGTATTCATTGTCTTTTCTTCACACACTAAGGTCATCTTCAGTAGCTAAGATAGTTTTGATCCCTGCATCTTAATACTTCACTCCTGTACTGTTTTCATTTCTTTATTAATTGTTTCTTAATAATGCTAAGATTGGGCCTATCTACTACATTAAAACAACTATTTTAAGACCAGTTGGAAAGCTCTATAGGGAGTCTTTTAAAAAATCCTCAGGGGAAGAATAATGTATGCATTGGGAATGTGTCCCTGGTTTCCCTCTACACAGGGTAGGAGCTGCTATCCTAATGCTCAAGAAAATTTCAGTCTCATCCTAAGGAGCTGATGTCCTCTCCCCTAGCACAGTGACTTGTGGGAATGGCAAGATAAATCAGTTCTAGTGGAGCAGTTTCCTTAAGATTCAAAAAAGCGGGTTTCTGTCATCAGCAGGTACCAGTTTGACCATCTTAAAAGGGCAGGCAAAACAGAGGCTGGTCAGTAACTCATTTCCAAATAAGCACTGTTGCACGTGGCCAGCCAAACTAAAAAAAAAAACCCAACAAAACCAGAGTTGTTTTTAAGAAATAGGCGCCATGATTTTAAGACCTTTGAAATTAATATGTGCAGTAATGAGGCTCATGTAGCAGCAGTCATTATTTCAACCTGAAGGTACACAAGATTTTGCTTCTCCTGTGGCCACTGTGCAGTCCTCGCTCTTTAGCCAGACTGTGCCGGGTCTTGTCAAATTTGCTAGTCCAGAAATCCCAACTGAGAAATACATCAGGTCATTGGAAATCAGATGATGATTCATGTTAAGTAATCTCTGGTAATTTAAAAAGTAATGAAAGACATCCTTTTGTTTCCAATGTCATTTGTTTTCAACAGGCAATATTAAGTTTTAGAAGGAGTGTTTTATTTGGCTGTATCCAGTTGCCTGAAGCTCATAAAATAGGAGGTAGCTGAAGGCTTGAAGGCAAAACTGTTAGAAATAACATAAATCCAACCATTTCATATATTGGCTTGATTTTCAGAAAAAAACTAAGCCTCATACCAGATCTGCTGATCTGGGTGCTGCTGCTGTTCAAATAGAGTCTAGAAAAAAAGCAGTGAGAGTACACGGCAGATAAAGATCATGGTCTTTGGCTGCCAGCTTTAGTTGTGGGGCATGTAGGTACTTCCTTGTAGGGATGAGAAGAAGAGAGCCTTATCTGGTCATTCTTGATGTCTTGCCTGGAAGTTTCTCTTAGTATTAAAAAAAAAAAAAAAAAATTTTACACTAATTGGTTTTTGAAAAACTTATTTTGGCCGAGGAGGTATCTCCACTGCCAAAGAGCTGCAGTTCAGTGACTGTTAGATCTGCAACACAGAAAACATAGAAAACAATTTTTCTCTTAGAAGCCGAATTTTCAAACAATCTGTGAAATTACTGCTATTTCCTGAACTTCTTGTAAAGTGTCAGTGACTGCTGGGTCACAAATGTTACTATCACTCTGAGTTGGCCATGAAAGGCTGCAAAATTCTTCTGTAATTCAGCACTTAGGAATGGTTATCATGCTTCTTTATGACAAAGGATTTTTTTTCTCAAGTGTGAAGGTTTTGTGGTTTGTTTATATTTTTTATTGAGCCTGGCTCATGACCTTCAAATAAATATTATATGTATATATAAAAGCCCTCAATTTGTGACTAAACTGTGTCAATGTGACCAGAAATCCTTAGTGTGACCATTTGAGTACTATCTGGTTTTTTAGGCAGAGTATTTCTGCTCAGGGCATGTGGAGGGGAGGTAAAAGGAAAACAGTGAAACTTGTGCTGCTCCTAGCACTCTTCTAGATTGAGGAATTGCTGGAATAACTTCGGTTACATGGAAAGTTGGTTATTGTGACAAAGCAAACATGGTACAAAACTAATTTTTATGGGGATTCTGGGAGCGTTGGTAACAAATCCAATGAGACAAGATCAGTCTTCTAGTCTTTATGCAAGTTCTTTAAGGTTGCTTCAGAGAAATGGTTGCACTTGTCTTAAAACAAAATAAAACCAAAACATTATACATGCCATGACTGGGGCTGCAAAAGAAGGTGTTCTGACAACATTAGATGACTGGGAGGAATGAGAATGAGGTCTAAGTGCCACTGCAAGGGTGTTGTTCTGTTGGATCAGCTGCTTCTTTGGCTGTAAAGATGCAGGCAGTTTATAGCTGTGTAGTCAAGGCACCACTTAGCATCAAAAAGTAGCAAATGTCATTTGGTTTCGTTGACATTTTAGCTCTGCTTTTGTTTGGATCACAGCCCTGTATTGCTGTCAGTGATGTGCAGAAAATTACACAGGGATGATAAAAACTTTCAAAAGAGTGAGGTAAACAGCCGATTTCCAGTAATAATAGATGTGAGAAATAGCTTTGGAAAAAATATTAGGGCAACATTTTCTAGCACAAAGCAGCTAATGCCCATGTATAGTACTTGGTATAGGTTTATTACTGGTGTTCAGCTTTGACGCTTGAGGATTTGTATTTCTTCAGTTTCTTTCTCCATTTAAAATGGAGATTTACGAATTCTGAATTATATTATGAATATATAAATTCTGAATTACTTCCGCATGAATTTGAGGATTAATATGTGTACAAAAGCTGTGAGTATTGAGGCTTTCTAGAAGAACTAGCTAGGTCTGCTTAGACCCAAATGGAGTATTACAGGATAGATTGTAGGCATTGCAGGTAATGTAGCAACTTCAGTTTGTTCTAAACTGGAGCTTGTGTTTCTAAGTGCTGAAAGGCAGTTTCAAAATATGTAGTAATAAGAGGCTTGTAAGCAGGTGAGAGTCTGCCCTGCCAGCAGTAAAGAAATTTAATGTAACTTAATGGAGAGAAAAAAGAAATCTCTAAGTAGGCTACTGATCCCTTTAGGCCCTAAGGTTAAAGTTTGTGTTAAAGTAAAGCAGTAGGCTCTAAAATACAAGCCCAAATATTAAAAACTGTGTACCAAACCACCTTATTGGAACCATGGCATGATTTGGACTGGCTATCTGGAGGTCTTACGTAAAAAGCTGTTGATTGTCATTTCTCCTCCAGATGACCTCCTGGAGCTCCAAAAGGTGATCAGTCTCCTTCTATTGAGGTGATTGTTCACATCCGTTTTACCAGATGTTGCTTTCTCAAAAGACAGTCACTCCAGTTTCTGAAACAAACAGGACCTGTCTTGTCTCGGCTCAGTCCCACCTTCTGTGAGGTGCTAGATTCTCTTGAGAGGGTGCCAAAAGAGTGTCACTTGTTGGCAATGTGTTGCCCTTAATCCTCCCACAGTTGTGGCTGTAAGATGCCTATTTCTCATTCTGATGTACATTGAAGCTATATTAGTTTTGGAACCTAAACGACTATTTTTTCTTCGGTTCATGTCTTCAGAAATAATGGTTTCATCATTTTGTTGTCCATTTAAATTGCCCAGCAAATCATTTCCCTTTGCCTTTCCCTCTGCTTTTAAAGGAGATGTCACCTCTTCTTCGCCTCACTCAAGGAGACTGCTGTGAGAGATTGGTCTTGGGTTCCTGGATCCTTGAGAAAATTATGCTTGAATGAACCAAAGAATTGAATCCCTGAAGCTCTTGGAGCAACTGTGGCAGCTGCTTCCTTGCTGAACCAGTGCCCAAAGCAGAACCACTGTTACCAGTCTTCTCCTTGAGACTGATTCCAAGTGGGTTGGTGAAGGAAATCCTTCCAGAGCTCAGAAGGAAACAGTGCTATCAGGCCACTGATAAGGAACAGGCTTGGCTGGTTCTTTGCTAATTCCCAAGCCCCTGTCTTTCTCTAGGAAGTAATTCCTTTGTGCCACTACTTGTAGTTTTGACAGTCTTGCTCTGGAGACTGCCTTGCCAAGTATCACTGTGGTTTCCCATGCTGGTTGGCAAAGGAGAAAAGCATAACATGACCTTTGGCTGTAGGGGCATGTGCTTTGCCCCAGGTTGCTGTTACAGGGTGGGGGGAACGCTGAGGAGCTGAGCCTGCGTGCAGGGCTCTTTGTGAATGATGAGCTAACTCTCTTTGTTCCACCTCCCCTCCAGAACTGTCAAGTAACCCATCTCTGGCTTCGATCCTCATCCCTGCTCATGCCCGGAACCAAGCAGCTGCTTCAACCCCTACAAACGCTACAGCAGCCTCAGGTGAGAATGCTCAACTGTCTGCCTTCCTCCCCACCTGTTCTCCCCCTGCCCAGGCACCTTCCCTCTGCTGAGGCCAATGAGCTGCCTCAGCCTTCAGTGTGAACAGGGAGGAGGGATTTGCTCCAGCATCACCTGAAACTCAGGCTTGGTAGATGGTCATTTGGGTGCTAGCTGTGGTCATCAACCCAAATCCTAACCAGGAGTGCTTAAACTTTGTGTTCAAATGTTTAGTGTGTTGGTCCTTCTTGCTCAGGCTTCCACTATTGAAAAATCATTATCTCACATGTTTTTTACAATCCTTGTGGATTGGTCTGCACCTAATTTCAGAGTTCTTAGCCAGTCTGAAATTAATACTGACTTGGAGAATGACCCTGTAATGCTTAGAAGAGCAAAAACGGCAAGCTCAGAACACGTGGGATCCATGGAGCTTGGACGGAGAGGGTTTTTTTCCCCAGAGGCATTAACACTTAAAAGTCTGATTAGGGAGTTCAGTCAGCATGCTCACTGCCTCATCTAAGTAGTTGTAGTTGCTTCTTGCTGAGTTTGCTTGTGTCGTCTTCAAGTACAAGGCAGATGCTTTTGAGCTTTGGCCAGCAGTGAGTGAATTTCTCTTTTGCCTCTCACTTGATCTCAGAAACCTTTTAAAAGCTCACTATTGGCCTGTAGCCGCTCCATATTGTTTTCTGTTTCCAGTAAAAGCTGAAAAGCTGGGTTACATCAATTAGGAAACTCCCAAAGAAAATCCCAGGTGCTGCAGGACGGCAGAGGTGATTCAGTACCTGGCACTCTTCCTCTGAGTCAGCCCTGAATCAGCACTCCAGCCGGCTGTCTCAGAGCTTGGGAACCAAAGGCAAGCTGCAAAATAGGTGTGCTTCCACATGTATCCTGTCTGCACATCAGTCCTAGTTGACAAGGGCTGTGACCCCCTTTTGAAGTGCAGTGCCCTTACTCAGTGGAAGATAGCAGATAAGGAGAAGCTCTAATTAGAAATATATTCTTGAAATGCGCTGGAAAGGATTTGCAGGGATGTGCTGGACAGTTACCTGATACCTGATGCATTTGGTCCAGCCAGTGCTGTGTAGAAAGCATTTTCAATACTCTAGGACAGACACATGCACCCAGGTTTGAAAGATGGGGCTTCTCTCTGGAAATGTATTAGCAGTAGATACAGATGCAGCCTGTACAGTTTATGTGCTCTGAATTTAGAAGAAAGCAAATTTACTATTTTCAAATTTAGTATGTTTGTTTCGTACACTTGGCAGTATTTTGCAGTCATGTTCTCTGTTTCCCTTTTATGTGCATCTGTTGCTCAGCAATGAGTGAGAAAGAAAAAAGCTGATAAAGTAGTAAAAGTGATTGAAATACTACAAAATACAAACATGGAAAATTATTTTAAGCTCTTCTGTAAAAACACAGTTTCACTTAATGTCCCTTTCATGCCTTTAAGGAGTTTTCTTTGTACAAGTGTTGAGGAATTAATGAGATTCAGAAGTCGGTTTTCACCCACCACTTTCCAAGAGTTCATGTGAGGGAAAAATGCTTTAGGCAGAGTCCTAAGTGTGACCTAAATGTGAAGTGTAAAAAAAAAAAAAAAATCCAAAAGCAGCCCCACCTTGTTCTTGTCAACAGTTTTTAACCTCCTGTTTGCAAGCACTGCACTGAGTTGGGATAGGAGCCCTTATTCGTAGTTCAAAACCCCAAAAATATCCTTACAGCTTGAAAAGAAATGGTGACATTAAGTTTAAGATTGGGCAACATGCACCTTTGGTTGCTACAGCACAGCTGCTTAGTAATTTCTTACTCACATGGGATTCTCACAGCAGACAGTAGGAATTTCATCAGAGTTGTGATTTTAGGATTAGGTCCTGTGTGAGGGTAAGTTGATCTGTTGTGCTTTGCATGCTGATGCTACAATTAGCAGGAGACTGTTGTAGAAGGGATCCCTTATTTCCCTGCACGTCCCAGAGCAAGAAATCTTAGTTCAGTAACTGCTAAAGCAGCATGGGAGCAAATTGCCTGCCTAATCCAGGGCATCCAAATAGACAGGAGGCTTTTCTGCAAGATAGCTGCTCATGTGAGGAAGCAGTACAAGTCCAGAATCTAATTTTCTGAGTGGTGATGATGCTACATAATGTAGCTCTTGTGGCAATTCAAAGGGTAAAGCAGGTTATGGTGTGTAACTCTTGTCTGCTTCTGGCAAGCAGAACTGATACTGAGGTTCAAGTGTCTGCTGTTATGTCTAGTGTAGCTGCCTGCTCTGTAAGCTCAGGGCATAGGTGCACGTACATGGAAATGCAGTGTACTAGTTCATTGCTCTCCTGTTGGTAATGCAGCCATGTCAAAACTTCAGCTCTTTCATAAAGTGTAAAGCTCTGCTTTTTATCATGCACCCTTTTGTCTGTTTTGGGTTTTTTTTCTTTTGTAAGCGAGGCAGCATCATAATCAGAAAATAATTTGAAAAATGAGATCTGTTTGTCCCAGGTCTAGCAAAGTAGTGTTTGTCGGGAGACTAAGCAGTGGTGTGGTGTTAAGAGATGGAAAGATTGGCTTTTTAGCATCCCACATTTCATCAAGCCAGCAATACTAGCCCTTGTGCTAACCAGCATGGCACACAGCTGCATTTTAAAAAGTTATCCAAAACAAGTAGTTTTTGTTAATGGATAGATTCACAGATTTCAACAGGCCAGTGCACCAGTAATCCTGAGATCATGATCTTAAATGCAGGGGAGTTATTGTAGGTGATTTTTTGTGCATTAAAAACAATGTGCTTGTGAATTTCCTCTTCTCTGGATGCATAAATCTGGACTCTCTGTACTAATGGAGCCTGGCTTCACTTTGCAGCAGAAGCATGAAGTATTAGTAAATTCACCTAAAGGTTTGTGGTAAATTCTCTGTGACATTAGTGGCATGTCTAAAGCAAAGTGGAGCAAAAGGAAGATGGTACTTATTTGCCCCAGCTGGAAATGCTGTGTTAGCTTTCTTTGAATTATACTGGCCATTAATTTTGAAATGCCAGTGCAACTTTATTTGGGTGGATGCTGGCTTGATACAGCTGGAGGAGGATGGTTTCATAGCCACACAGCCACAGCATGTGAGAGGGGGGCGTACGCACGATGCCAAATGCCTATCTGCTTGTGTGACCACATGTTTTTCTTCCTGGATCAGCCAGCAGCAGTAGTTACCCCTCTGTTAGTCAGCATCAAGATGGGATGGGCATAATTGCCATCTGCAGGGGGGCTGTGCCAGCAGGGATGCTGGGGTCATCGTCTTAGGCATCCTGCTGTGTTGATCCCATGTAATCCCAAGTGCAATGGTGTGCCTGAGCTTTCAGCAGCAAAACAGATTAGAGCTGGTGTTACCTGCCAATGTGTGGCAGTTGAAAAAGACCATGGTGCTCCATAAAATTACATTTAGCACATTCATGGTATTCCTATTGAAGGCATTTTGGAAGACTTTAATTCTGTAGCCAGGAGGTGCAAGCAATTTGCTCAGGTTTCTTCAAGCTCAACATTAAGGTGAATCCGTGGCATTTGCAGGAATAAAACTTGCAGGTTTCAGGCTTGGAAGTTTTGCTCTTAGTCCTGGATTGCTACATTCATAGGCGTCATAGGAAAACTGGGCATTTTTTCTCTCCTTTCAGTTGTCATCTCAGCTGTCCCGTGAGGATTTCCAGGCTGGTGGTATTTTTGTTTCTGTATCTTTGTAGATAAGCAACGCAGCCTGTCAGAGTTACAGATCCTACCAGCTAATGCTGTTGTTACGGTTAATGGGCCTTCTCAGGCTGAGTTTGGTGCCTCTCTCATTCTCTGAACTATAGCCCCATCTTTCCAGGAGGTTCCTAAGGAGTGCCATGTACCAAGAAAGCAGAGGGAAAGGCTGAATTGGAGGAGATGTTCTACTTCGAGAGATTTTTGCCCTCTGTTTGGAAGAGGTTTTGGAAACAGCTGGTGCTTAAGCCCTGATGTGGTTTCTTTGCCCACACAGGCAGAGGTGTCAGGTGGATAGTTCAGGGCAAAGTATCTGCCCTCACCTCAAGCCATGGTCTGCTGTACTCATCTGTCCTGTACCAAAAAGCTGTGTCAGCTCCTACCTTTGGTGCCCAGCAGGGCATCCACGGTGACATGGGCAGCTGCTCTGCAAAGCAAATGTTTTAGCTGCATTGTTGACAGCCTACAATGTCTTCTCTTATGCCCAAGTACCAATTTATCATGGTGAGGAGGAGTAAGCAAATGTCCAGGTGCTCTCACACCCCAGTTGTGTTATTTTTTCTGGTGCTTCAGCAAAGAGACACTGGAGTAGGCTCCTCTCTGTTCCCAAATGTCCTATCAATGCAGAGTGAAAGAACTAGCTGGAATGTCAAAATACTGCATTCTCTTGAAGGTTTGGAGCCAGTACAGCCTTGAGCAAGTTCTGTGCTCTACCCCAGCCTGAGTGGACTTACATAATTGTGAAAAGCCCCACAAAAATGGTCTTGGGCTGAGACACCTGGTTTATTTCCTTTTTAACATGTGACACATACAATTCTCAGGAATTCCCCCATTAGAGTGATGATAGAAAAGGAGCATATGTTACATATGCTACATGAAGTAGCAGTATAATCCTCTTTTTTTAGCTCTGCTCGGTAACAATGTAATTATAAAGATTTCAGCCTCTGCTGTCTTCATGAATAGGACATCAAAAGGCACGTTTCATTTCAGCAAATGAAATACAAGCACTTTTTGTACACATACAGAGAAATCTGCCAACAGCACAGACTCCAGCTGGACTCCTTGCATCAGGCATGGCAGATGTTGCATTAACTGGAGTTTATCCACACCTGAAAATGAATCTAGAACAGGCAGAGTTTAAAGTGTGGAAACTATTAGTTGTCTGGCTGGGTCACTTTTGATTTCCTTAGTCATCAATGATCTGCATGCATGTGGGTTTTGGGAATTGCTCCTCCAGGGTAATTCCCCATGTAGGAGGGCATCTCTTATGTGCAAGGCTAGTTTTCCAAATAACATTGGTACTGTTGTCATGCTGCCTTGGTGCTTTAGCTGCATGAGCTTGCTTTCATCATGATGGTCATTGCTTTGGGAGGGAGGGGTTGCAATTAATTTGAAGTGGGGGCAAACAGAATGGAAAACTCCCAGGGCAGTCATCTGGCGTCCTTTTCCCACATGAGGATTTCCCTTTCTTCCCACCCACTCCTCACAGCATTTCCTTTCCAAATAGGTGTCATCCTCTCTTCCCACTTACCCTTGTATTCCTGGATGCTGTTGTGTGTTTGATTTCCCTTTTTTTCTTGCCAGTATGTTGCTTAATTTGTTACTCACTCAGTGCTGCCCATTTGTAGACTCTCATTCATTTCATTACATTTGCTTATGGCTCTGCTTCCAACTGTGGCTGGGTCACCATGGCAAGAGAGGAGAGGGGTTTTGTCAACAGGTGACAAGTACTGCCCAGCCTCATGGCCTCACCAGCTCTTCTCTGCTGGAGAAGTATCACTGCACCCCCACTGCCTACCAGTTGTATTTTTTCATGTCTATTATTTATGCTAGTCATACTGTCCTTCAGTCTGAGGTCATTAAATCTTTTTTTGTATGAGCTCTTTTCCCTGTGTCCTTCCAAATGCATTGTTTGCCCAGTCTGCCCTCTTCTGTACTGAGATAATAAGTTTTTTCTTCTCATGTTGCAGTATTGATAGCTTAACAGTTAACCTTACTGAAATTAAGTGGGAGAAATGCACAATGGTCTCTTGTAGAAAACCTCACTTAATACCTTTTTCCCCATCCTGTATTTATTGTGTTTCCACTTTCCTTTTGGTGACTCTGCTGATGAGATACCATGTGGGATGATTCCATGTGAAGTTGGTGTGTTGGGTTTTTTTCCCTACCAACTCTTGTAATACTAATAACAGGGTTTTTTTAGAGAAAACACCTGATAAATGTTGCCTGTGAAAACAAAGTAACAATTAATTTCCTTCTGGTATTTCTTTGTTCCTGTGACTTGTCTCTCTGTGGAGCACTGTCCTTCCCAGAGAAGAGGTGTTGGAGACCATTTACTGCCAAGACTCTATCCTATTACAGTGTTGTGTGCTTGTGTAAACTTCACAACTGGCTTCAGGCCTTGATGTTAATCAGCAGCACCAACGTGAAACTCCGTAGCGGCCGTGGATAGCTCAGCTTTAGCTAAGCTTTGGTGGTGTGCACATGCCTTACCTTGCCATTAGAGTTACTGGGATGTAACGTGGGCAACTTACCACTTTGCAGGCAGTGTTACATCTTGCTAACTCTTAGAGCCCAGATGGATGTTTGCCTGCTGGCCTGCAACCCTCAGCCTTGGCTTGGTCCTGCTTAAAGTCCTACCCTCTCCCCAGATCAAAGTGTTCCAGTGGCACCCCCTGACGTCAGGAGACCATCCTAACCAGACGGTCTCCTGGTGGGAGTTGTAGGTTTCCCTGTGTGGAGAATGTAATAGCTGTTGTTCTACATGTAGTCTGCATTTTGGAGGTAATACTGGTTGTTTTTTCTCTCTTCCCTTCCTCTTGCCTTTGTTTGCAGATGTTAACGCAGGAGAACGAGTTCAGACCAATAGTGTAGCTACAGCATCAGCCTCCAACTCCACCTGAACCGGTACCAAGCAGCCAGCTGCACAGGAAAAATCACCAGTAATTTGAGTCTTGCTCAGCAACACTGGTCACATTTGGAAAGAAAATTAAAAAGAGGAAAAAAAAAAAAAAAGCAACCAACCAACCTGTTCATTTTAGTGTTCAATTTTTTATTATTATTATTGTTGTTCTTATTTAACCTTGTAAAATAGCTATAAATACAAACCAGTTTCATTGTATTCTCACTCTGCAGGGTGTCCGGGGCAGGGGACTAGGTGGGGGGAGGAGGGAAAGCGGAGCAATACAACACACCGATGTCTCTCCCCTCGACAATCTCTTCATGTTGGAAGTTTGCTGTTGTGTACTTCAGAACCAGGACTCTTGCCTCATGCCCCCTCCCACAACAGAAAGAAGGAAAAAAAAAACTAAGCTTAAAAAAAAAACAACAAAAAAAAACCAAACCCAAACCTCATTCTCTGCTGAAGTTATTGTTGTTTTTTTTTAAACCTCTTTTTTTTATTTTCTTTTTAAGTGAAGTTTTGGACTTTGATGTAGTGCACAGCTTGAATTTGGTCGGGAGCTTAGCAGGGGTCATTCAACAGAGCTCAGCATTTCTTGTCAGTGAATCCATATCCCAGATGGTCTGAAGAACTGCCCCAGCTCGGGAAGGGGGAGCCAGCAACGTGGTAGGAAAATAGGTTGCCATGGGGTGGGGGGAGGGTTTGCCATGTGTCGAAGGCTTGAACCGCTAGTGGAAGCCTTGCATTGTAAAAATCAGTGCTAGCAACGAAGCAACCTGCAGCTTCACTATGGGAAAAGTGTCACTCGAGTGGGTTCTATATAATATAATACACACACATGCACGAACACAAGCGGTTAGCTTTACTGAAGCAGCTCCTTTACCCCCCCTCTCATGGGCCAGGGCAGGTCAGCTCCCATCTTCAGCAGAGAAGAGCGGACGAACAAAATCCTCGGAGGGGGTGGGGGCCCCAGTGGGGATGGTAAAAGACTTTCTGGGAAGTGGCCACTGTGAAAGCTTGTTGGTTTGTTTTTTTTATTCCTTCCCTTTCCCCCCCCCCTCCCCAGCCCAGCACAGGCCCTCAATTGGAACAGGCTTCCCTTTTCCAAGGTGCGTAAAGGAAAAGGACACCAGGGTTTATAATGTGAACTGTAACAGTCTACTGGTTTATTTTGTAATATTTTTTCTAACTGCAGTTTTAACTTGCAGGACGCCACATTCTACAATAGTTCTGATTTTAAATCCACAGCTAGAATCTGTATTTAATTTCATCTTTTTTAACCTCTTGCTTTTTTTGATCTCTATTTATTGATGCGTGTTGCCACGTCGCCATTATGTTTTTACATTGGTAGAATATTAATAAAATACACATCCAAGTGCTCTCGACAGTAATTTGTACCTGCTGACTTGTAGGAAAGCTGGCTATATATGAGTGTGTGTGTGTATATATATTATATAAATATATACATGTATACATAGATACAATACTGCTTTTTTATTTTGTCTACAATCTTGGAAAAGTCTGACTGGCGCGTGAGGCGAATGCTTGTTCTTAGTCCATCTGTTCAGGGTCCAGGTTTCCTCCTCGTGACGGCGTGTGGTTTGAGCATCCAAATCTCTCTTCCTGAAGTCAAAGCAATATTCCTCGGGAAAGGGTCAGGTGAGCGGCAGCCGCGGCATAGAACTTTTTGGAGGCCTGATCTTGTCGTAGGCTTGTGGTTGGTTCCCACTTCCAGCCTTATCCTCCTTCAGAGAAACTGTAGTTGCCTTTGGTGCTTTTTGAGCTGCTATCCCACCTGTGGATCTCTAAGGCAAGCGGTTGCTTTTCGGGAACGCGCGGTCCAGGGGTGGCCGGCGGTAACAGCTTCAGCAGGCTCGGCCACCGCGTGTGTTGCTCATGAGCTTAGTGTGCTGCTTCTTGTACCTGTTATCCTGTTGACGTGGGGTTTTGTTGGAAGCTCTCGTAGCAGCCCTGTAACTGTTAAAAGCCCTGCCCCCTTCTCTCTTGCCTGACACACAGCAGGGTTCGGGAAGGCAGGAGCTGTTTCAAGAGGTGAGTGACCACCTGCCATGAAACCGATAAACCCTCATGTATAGACCCCTCAGCAATTTCCTGTCGGGCACACGCTAAAAAATAAATAAAGGCTTTAAAGCTTTTAGCTGTCATTAAATGCTGGCTGGCTGCAAAGGAAAGGTCACCCACGTTTAGAAACTGAAGGCTTTCCAAATCCTTACATGTGACTTCATAGGGCTGAAGAGCATCTTAATGCAAGAGCTCAGCTAGTCAGTGTCCCAGAAGGTAAGTGAAGGGGCTTGGTTGACCCAGTGATCCACATAGATGCAGGAGACTCAAAAAGTAGGGCAGCAGCAGGGAATGGATCTGCTGTACAGGCAAGACTGCTGAAGCATTGGCCACAGTCGCTGTTATTTGGAGGCAGTAAATTACCCAATCTTTGAAACAAACAACAAACAAACAAAAGTAATAAAAATAATTAAGAAAAATTGCTGCTTGTGCCAGGAAATGTGGCTTTTCTTCTTTTTTCTTTTTATCTTCTTGTTGGAGACTGGTGGAGGGGAGTTAAGAGCTTTTCTGTGTGTGTCTCGTGTGTCTGTGTGTGTGTGTGTGTGTGTTAGGCTGGGGGGAGGGTCGGGGGCGCCCCTCTGATTTTATTTCTTTTTTTCAAGGATCATGGCAAGATCACACACTTTTATACACGTTAGATCCAGGTCTTTGAATAACCTTTTTTTGTAAATAAGGAAAAAAAAAATATTTAAAAAAAAACAGTCACCACCACCAACAAAGAAACAAAGCTCCTCACCAAATTCAAGCTTGTACATTATTATTTTGGGTTGTTTTTGAATTTTTGAGTTTTATTGTTTTGTATGTAAATATGTGGACCCAGGAACTGTTATTAATGAGCAAAAAGTTACCGTTCAGGGCAGTGATTCTGTTTAATAATCAGACAAAATGTAGACGAGCTTTTTAAAGCCATATAGTTTTAACTCTGTACAGTAGGTACCGGCCTGTATTATTGTAACAATAACTCTAGCGATGTATAGTGTATCTATATAGTTTGGAGTGCCTTCGCTTCCATGATTTTTTGAATTTTATTTCCCTTTTTTTTCCCCCCTCTCCCCCTCCTCTTTTATTAACAATGTCTCCCACCCAAACCCTCATCTTTGCTTCCCCTGCCCACTCCCCCTTCCCTCCCTCCCGCCCTGCTTTCTAACTCTTTGAGTGCTGTAAGGTTTTGGTGATACCCTGATAAGGAGCGGAACAAAAGGAAACTGTCTCCACCGTCATCCATTTCGTTGGAGCCGTGGCTTTGTTCTGGATGTCTCCAAGTTGCCCACCCTGCCCTCTTCTCCTCCCGCTCGCAGCGACCGGTTTCATTCGGACACTTGCCCTAGCAGCTCATTTAGACTTTGCTCGTCTCTCCCCTCTGATCCTGTGCCCACAAGTTGCCTGGGCAGCAGCAACTTCCAAGGAGGCTCAGCCTTTCCACCCTCCCTGCGGCTGTGCCGGGGGCAGTGGCTGGGCCTGGTGAGTGGAAAGGACCCCCAGGGAGGGAAACCCCCTGTGCCCTGCAGGGATGCTGCTCCCAGAGCCCTTTGGCTACGGTGGGAGCGGGGGCATCACTGTAGGAGACTGCGGTGTTTTTTTCTGCCAGGAGAACTTTCCGTTCCCTTTCTTCTCTCTATTTTTTCCCTCCACATCCCTCCCCAAAGTCACTTTTGTTTTCTTGAGATAATAAGTTTAACATGACTCTTGATTTCTTGTGCCCAGCACGAAGGCCTTGTTTCTAAAACTAGTTTGCTTGTGTTTTACTACCTTGTTAGTATTCCACATAAGATTGTCTTGAATGGGAAAACACTTAACTCTTTACCAAACCAAAGGTTGCTGTTTTATTTCGAAGCATCTCGTGTTCATTCCGGTGAAGCAGAGGCTGCACTTTCTTTCTGGTGACGCGAAGGTCAGTGATGCCAAGCTGGCAGCAGCAGTCCGCTCAGAGCTGCCCCTCTCTTCTTTTACTCTTTCGGGCTTGTTTTTAACCCAGTCTGGTCTTGATCTGTTCTTTTACATCAGCCCTGCCGTGGGTCTCTGAGCCGGACTTGATCGCAGCCCGTCACCCCAATGGACACCCAGTCAAGTCGCTGGTGTTCTTTCATATGAAATGTATCTACCTTGCTAGGGAAAAATGAAATGAAATGATCACATGCTCAAGAAAATTGGCTGGTAGAAGATCCCCGAACACTTTGTCCCCTTATTTCGAAGCCCAGCTTTACCTTAAATAAGGGCAGGTGCCTGCGACTTGCAGCTTAAAATTTCCCCCAGTTTTCAATACTTGGAAAAGTAGAAGTCAAAGCAGCCTGTCAGACTCATCCTCCTGCAGGAGGAACCTCAGCAACCGCGGAGAAAAAGGAAAAAAGCCGATGAGGAAAAAGCACAGTAGGGCATTTGGTCCAGGCTCTGCCTTTGGGAGAAGTGCCAGCGGGTACCCCTGGGGTGGCAGCTGATTTCCATGGGGCTCTCAACCGGTTCTGGTCGTAGTTGGCTTCGTTTTGCAACACTGCAATAACAGCAAAACGACAGGAAAGGAAAACAGTACCTAAGGGGTTAGCTCGAGAAAAGTAGCTTCCTTGTGTTGGTCTTTCTCAGTTTATTTTTAATATATATATATAAAATATATTTATATATATATAATTTTTTTGCCTGTAAAATTTGCGTTCATTAATGTGTTGCTGATGGATCACTTGGGCCTGTACACACCAATTAGCGTGACCACTTCCATCCTAAAACCAGAAATCTAAAAATATATATATATATTAAGGACTGTGGGTTGTATACAAACTATTGCATACACTTGTGCAAATCTGTCTTGATTTAAAGGAAAAAGCAAAACCTGTATAACGTTATTACTACTTGAATGCCTCTGTGACTGATTTTTTTTTTTTTTTTCATTTTAAATATAAACTATTTTTGTGGAAAGTATGCTTAATGTTTTATTATTTCCCTCGCCCCATTCCCCTTGTAAATACGTTTTGTTCTGTGTGACTCGGTTCGGAAATAGTTAACTGGTACTGTAATTTGCATTAAATAAAAAGTAGGCTAGCCTGGAAATGAAATTTAAAAAAAAAAAAAATACCAAGTGTGTGGTCTTTATTTCAAAAACTTGCCCCTTTCTTCCCTCCTCCTTTCCCTTCTCCTCCCCTTGTACCTCTACCCTCACGCCTCTTTCCACTCTGCAAGAATAGGTGGACGTGAATCTTCGTCATAATTATTAAAAAAGAAAAAAAAAAAAAAAAAAGACAAGAAATAAGCATGTTTTCTTAAATGAGCTGTGTTATTCCATGCTGTGTTTCAAGAGATGCCGGCTTGTCTGTGATACCGTTTGATTTGATGGAGAGAGGAATCCTGGGACATCAATCTTTCAAATTTAA